ATTAACATTCAATTCTCTGGCAACAACTCTGGTGGACATTCCCGCAGTCAGCATGCCAATTGCACACTCCCTCAACCTGAGACATCTGTGGCTGCAAAATGTTGTGGCCTTTTATTGTCCCCAGCACAAGGTGCACCTGTGTAATGATCATGCTGTTTAATCAGTTTCATGATATGCCACACCTGTCAGGTGGATGGACTACCTTGGCAAAGGAGAAATGCTCACTAACAGGGATGTAAACAAATTTGATAAATAATAAATAATATTTTTGTGCGCATGGAATATTTCTGGGATCTTTTATTTCAGCTCATGAAACATGGGACCAACACTTTACATGTTGCGTTTATATATTTCTGTTCAGTGTAATAAAGTCATCAAATAAAACAAATATTTTATTAGAGTAAAGTAATGTGAATAAATTATAGTTAATAAGTAATAAACAGTAATGGGCAGTCACTACCATCATGGGACTTTTATTAATTGTTTTATTCTGTGTTGTTACAGCATTCAACCCACATAATGCATAGTGCATTTAATGTCTAAAAATAATTATCGAAACCATTATTTATTTTATATAATCTAACCGAAACGACCTCAAAAAGCACTTATCGCTCAGCACTAATTTGTTAACAACAGCTGGTGCGCAATCTCTAATATTAACTCTTTACACCCCAATAGAATTCTAGAATGCTGCTGTAGATTACTAAGAATTTTCAAGATAAAGCTCATTTTCTCACACATTTCAAACAAACAGACATAGCTCAAAAACAAAGAACAAATTACAATTACAAGTTAACTTAGTTTTAAAGAGCACGATGGCTTCTTTAATATGACACCACATTCATGTCAATAGGAATAACACTCATTTTGCCTTCCATTGTGTAAAGACACTCACTTTCAAAAAACGATTAACACTCAACACAACAAAAAACCCTAGAGTACTTAAAATTGGAGTAAATTTGACTAAATTACTCACTTAAAATGTACCAAGTATAATATATTATTACATATAAATAAAACAAGTAGCCTATCCAAAATGTGACCAGAGGACACTATTCAGAAAGTATTTCAAAACCCACACCAAGTAGGCTATTTGATTGACACCAATTCTTAGGTGGTCCTCTGTAGCTCAATTGGTAGAGCATGGTGCTTGTAACGCCAGGGTAGTGAGTTCGATCCCCGGGACCACCCATACGTAAAAATGTATGCGCACATGACTGTAAGTTGCTTTGTATAAAAGCGTCTGCTAAATGGCATATTATTATTATTACTTCTGTAACAATGTAAAAATGCAAACAACTATTCAGAGACTATTTAAAAATGTAGGTAACCTCTCTCAATAAGATTTAGTACAGACCAGGCCTGACACAAAAATTTAGAAATAGTAGCCTACTTTGAAAACAATTCAGTGAATGCAACAAGTATTAGATAGAGACAGATAAAGAGAGAAGACACAAACCACAACTACTGTTCAGAGACAATAAAAGATTTGTAGAACAAATTCATATTTCACACTGTCACTTTAGTGTTTCATTTAGCCTACAACATGTCATGGAACTTCTGGAAGCACGGCCCATCCTGCAAAGTGGCACAGAACACGTAGAGCACCCAAAGGAGGTTTCTACACATCTCCCACTCTTTGCCCTGCGTCCACTCCGGATGCACACCACACACCCTCTCTTGTGGCCTTCAAACTTCACTTGCTTTCAAATGAGTTACAACTTGGACCACACGCCCTGAAGCCACACTCTTGGCTCCCCTCTTCCTGCCACTGTAGCCATATCACAAAGTGAATGCACAAGCTGCATTTTGAATGCCTTCAGGGACCAGCACCTGCGGTTTCTGGGAAGGGACCTTTGCAGGGTCCCCCACACAATGTACACATTTATGATGGCAATGTTGAGCATCCCCCAAAACACATTTTCTGCCTGTTCGTCCAACATTGTAATAGCTCCTCAGTTGGTCAAGATTGTCAACCCTGCCCATTTTCTTGTTGTAATCCATTACAAGCTCTGGAACAGATATAAGTTCCTACCACTTTAAAAACTCCAAAATCCCTGCCACTGTCACTTTAGGCCCATGCTGTGTGGTACAAGGGTGAATGGTGGGATTTAGGGCAGACACACGCCATGGAAACGTAGGTTACCCTCTAGGGTGTGCTCTCCCTCTTCCTCTCTCTCTGCTTCGTCCTCTCCCTCCACTCTTTTCTCCCTCCTCTTCACGCTCCTCTTTCTCTCTCCCTCCATTCTCCTCTCCTTCACTCTCCTCTTTCTCTCTCCTCTTCACTCTTCTCTCACTCCACTCCACTCTCCTCTCACTCCACATCTCTATCCCTCCAAACATCTCTAACTCCTATTCCTCCCTGCCTTTTGCTGCTGAGCCCTGACTCTCCACATCACTTTCTTCGCTTTCACTGACCTAGAGGAACAGAGTAACAGAGGGAGAGGAGCAACAAATAAGATGCAATTGTAGTCAGAAACAATCTCTCACTCCCTCTCACACTGTCTCTCTCTTCCTTCCTCTCTTTCTTTTTCTCAACCATTCACATACTCTCTTCCTAATAAGGGGTTTCCATAATAAATTGTGTGATACAGTTACACGCCTCCCATACTACACACACTCACTCTCAACTCTTGTTTTCTTGCCTGACAGACTAACTACTGAGTTTGCCAATGGTATCTTATTAGTTACAAAGCTGGGACAGTTTCCAAATGAAATGCATCGGTAAAACATGACAAAACAAGCAACTTGTTTAGCTGGCTATGTAAACAAACATCCAACTCATCATATGACCTCCACGTGCGGGCATCTACTACCCTAACACGAAACGGTCAAATAATAGGAATATCTGCACCTAGCAAACATGACAAACGATAACCTAAGCCCAACAGATAAACACAAATTACTCTAGCCTTCATCTCGGTGGCTAGTTAGCTGGTTGTCTGTATGGCTAGCTAGTGAAAGTGGCAGCTGAGGTTGACGCTTCGTGAGCGCTGCCCACAACTTTTCTTGCCTGACAAACTAGTTAGCTAGCAGCTTGGTCCGTTTCCATATGAATTAACGTTACATCGATAGAAACAACACAAAACAAACAATTAGTTAGCTGACTATATACAGCCAAAAACTGCAACTATTTCCATGAAACAGAGATGAATCATTCGAGCTCCACCGTTGATGTGCTCGCCTGTACCAACCAAGTTATCATGATCTATTCCCCAAGTTTCACAGTCAGCATCAAACATCGACAACACCAAACACATATCTGCTGTTTACTTATTTCACTCTCCTCGACATCATCGGTATTCAAAGCGCAAGGACGTGTGCGAATCCGTATCACCAACCAACATAGATAAAGCCTATTTCACAGTGAAAAGTAATGTCAGCTTCGACGCTGTCATTTTGAGTAATGCATTTTTAAAAACGATGAAAAGTAAAATGACAGCATACCCAGTTTCCGGTTTCTGACAACAGTTCGTTAGCAAGTTAATTTTGCGATATTGTTGTTAGAAAACAAGGCCGTTCGCGGCTGCTATATTAATTTAGAGGAAGGCCGTCGATGGCCGCGATGGGTTCTAAATTAAGGAAGTCTGGAGGTTCTGCTCGCCTGAATTAGAATACTTCATCCCATAGATGGTAGTTCCGATTCAAAATCAGGACTGGCATCCATTGTTTGCGTACCCATGAGTTTAACAGTCAAATTGCCAGGGTAAGAGGTTACAAAACCCTTCCATAGATTATATATCTGTGGCCACAATGTGAGGCTGTTTACATTTTAGAAGCAAGCCATTGACTGCCTTCATCCATAGGGGTATGTACGACAGTTCTGATTGGTTCCAAGTTTATCAGTTCGTAAATTTGCCTCAGCAGAGTGTTGAAATATATTTTTTCTGAGAAAATGCGCAAGAATTGAAGGTGGCACATTTTTTTTTCAGTAATCATAATAATATTTAATTGTCACATACAAAAAAAGTATCTCCTCCCTCGACGTAGATCGATCAACTTCACTGTTTTCGGCGTCAGCCCACCACCTATCACTCATACACACTTTTTTTGCTAAAGGCCTATTGGGGTTTGTGAATCACGCGCTAATAAAAACGTAAAGAGGAAGAGGAAGAAGATGAAGATGAGTCATGCCCTAATGAAAGTTTCGTTTCATACATGGCAAAGCAGGAAACAACTTTGTTATTCCGATGCTGGCAGGGCAGAACAAGATAAAATAGGCTATAAGTTTCATTTCACCCCTGAGGAGGAAATGTAGGTAAACTGAAACACTAGAACAATGAAGAGTCAGTAGAGGGACTGCAGACATGACATAAAACCATTAGTCTACTAAGAATCTGATGACATATGTGGCTTCAGATTACTCCATCGCACTCCATGATCGCAAAGAAATGATTGAGGTAAATTGATCAATTTATGTATCTTAAATACAACAAAAGTCTTATCATGATTATTATTATAAGTTATTATTAATACTAGGCTAGGCCTACTTGATCCTTGAATACTATATTTCTAAACTATAGGGACATTTGTTTGCAGTCTGATTAGTACAGTTATGTTTGTCATCAAGCCATATAACCATAATTATAACAAATTAATTGGTTCTTGTAGAATCCTACCAATGTGGAAGGATGAGTTCGAGTAAGAGGAAAACACGGTGAGGAGATCATTTTAACCAGTTGAACATTCTAACCAGTAGAACATTTTAACCGGTGAAACACTTTTTAACCAGTTGAACGCTTTAACTAGTTGCTTGGAACGTGTGTGTTCTCCTATAGCTGCACGATGCTTTACCTTGCTAACACTATACATGCTTGACCATGTTAACGCTACATGCTTTACTTGGTTAACACTATACATGCTGTGGCTTTACCTTGTTAACACTATACATCGTGGGATTAACTATTGAGATAATTTCCTGTTTCTATATAAAGCTATAAAAATGGAACCAAATGTCAGTTATATTTAGCAGATTTACAGAATTTAAACATAATTTCTTCATGCTTTTAGTAGATAGAAGGTATAGATTGAGAAGAATGAGGTTTCATTTCCAACCATATTGTGAAAACTAAACCACAGAGTTTCTAAACCCAGAGGCGCAACATTGCGAGACTTCTGGGAACGCTTGCGAAACAGACCAAACTGACCAGGCCAGGGTTTGGGGTTTGAGAAGTCAATTCTTCCTTAGTTGTTAATTTTTTTTAAATCTAAAGGCACAACCTAGATTTGAGCCAATGTCTTAAGTAGATGAAGATGTTATTACTCTAACCTTGTGTAAGTGACCAACTGACACATTTTAATTTTCGTCAAAAACAACTTTATATCGAAGGAGTCCCTTTGAGTTTATGAGTTTAGCTAGTCAACGTCGCCATGACATCGCCTACAAGTGTGATCTGGGATTTCTATTGGAGAAGCAGCTTTAGCCTATATTCATACTGTACTGTCTTTGACTAAACTATCCAACTTCTTCACTTCACTTCTTATTGTTGTTTAGACATTCATTTGCTGCAACAACGCCCCCTTTCATTGATTACCTGAAGGACATCCTGCGGAGGTACCCTGATGGTGGACAGATATTGAAGGTGAGTTTGATAATAAATCAATCATGTAGTCATCTGTTCACTCTGTACACTTAACGTAAATGTAATTAAAGCCACTACATTTAAAGAAGTAGTGTGAACATCTTGTATTGTATAAGTTCGCCATAGCCCAATGTACTATCCAAACATTAGTTAAAGGCACCTATGTAAACGTCCCTATCCCTATCTGTGCTGTGACCAGGAGCTTATCCAGAATGCTGATGATGCCGGGGCGTCGAAGGTGGTGTTCCTCCATGATGAGAGATGCTACGGCAGCCAGAGCCTCAAGACTGATGGCCTGGGAAAGTACCAAGGTAGGGTTGTTTCATATTTGTGGAAGATTGAAGAGGGTCATTCCATATCTGCACCCATTTTGATTTGAACGAAACCTTTTATACATGTTTGCGCATGGTGGAAGTGGTCAGAAAGTGACCGTTTGGACCTGAATGCCAAAACATTCAGTAGATAGAGGCACTCAAAGTTGACCTGTTTTGCCTACCCCACCCTACCATGAGACATCCATGTCAAATCAAATCAAATCACATTTTATTTGTCACATACGCCGAATACAACAGGTGTAGACCTTACAGTGAAGTGCTTACTTACAAGCCCTTAACCAACAATGCAGTTTTAAGAAAGAATGCAAAAAAAATCACACAAAAAAAAAACAATATAAAATAATACAAAATAAAAGTAACAAATAATTAAAGAGCAGCAGTAAAAATAACAATAGCGAGGCTATATTTACAGGGGGTACCGGTACCGAGTCAATGTGCGGGGGCACCGGTTAGTCAGGGTAATTGAGGTAATATGTACATGTAGGTAGAGTTATTAAAGTGACTATGCATAGATAATAAACAGTGAGTAGCAGCAGCGTAAAAGAGGGGGGGGGGGGGGGGGGGTAACGCAAATAGTCTGGGTAGCCATTTGATTAGATGTTCAGGAGTCTTATGGCTTGGGGGTAGAAGCTGTTTAGAAGCCTCTTGGACCTAGACTTGGCGCTCCGGTACCACTTGCCGTGCAGTAGCAGAGGGAACAGTCTATGACTAGGGTGGCTGGAGTCTTTGACAGTTCTTAGGGCCTTCCTCTGACACCGCCTGGTATAGAGGTCCTGGATGGCAGGAAGCTTGGCCCCAGTGATGTACTGGGCCGTACGCACTACCCTCTGTAGTGCCTTGCGGTCGGAGGCCGAGCAGTTGCCATACCAGGCAGTGATGCAACCAGTCAGGATGCTCTCGATAGTGCATCTGTAGAACCTTTTGAGGATCTGAGGACCCATGCCAAATCTTTTCAGTCTCCTTAGGGGGAATAGGTTATGTCGTGCCCTCTTCACAACTGTCTTGGTGTGCTTGGACCATGTTAGTTTGATGGTGATGTGGACACCAAGGAACTTGAAGCTCTCAACCTGTTCCACTACAGCCCCGTCGATGAGAATGGGGGCGTGCTTGGTCCTCTTCTTTTTCCTGTAGTCCACAATCATCTCCTTTGTCTTGATCACTTGAGGGAGAGGTTGTTTTCCTTGCACCACACGGCCAGGTCTCTGACCTCCTCCCTATAGGCTGTCTCGTCATTGTCGGTGATCAGGCCTACCACTGTGTGTCATCGGCAAACTTAATGATGGTGTTGGAGTCGTGCCTGGCCATGCAGTCATGAGTGAACAGGGAGTACAGGAGGGGACTGAGCACGCACCCCTGAGGGGCCCCCGTGTTGAGGTTCAGCGTGGCGGATGTGTTGTTACCTACCCTTACCACCTGGGGGCAGCCCATCAGGAAGTTGCAGAGGGAGGTGTTTAGTCCCAGGGTCCTTAGCTTAGTGATGAGCTTTGAGGGCACTATGGTGTTGAACGCTGAGCTGTAGTCAATGAATAGCATTCTCACATAGGTGTTCCTTTTGTCCAGGTGTGAAAGGGCAGTGTGGAGCGCAATAGAGATTGCATAATCTGTGGATCTGTTGGGGTGGTATGCAAATTGGAGTGGGTCTAGGTTTTCTGGGATAATGGTGTTGATGTGAGCCATGACCAGCCTTTCAAAGCACTTCATGGCTACAGACGTGAGTGCTACGGGTCGGTAGTCATTTAGGCAGGTTACCTTAGTGTTCTTGGGCACAGGGACTATGGTGGTCTGCTTGAAACATGTTGGTATTACAGACCCAGACAGGGAGAGGTTGAAAATGTCAGTGAAGACACTTGCCAGTTGGTCAGCGCATGCTCGGAGTACACGTCCTGGTAATCCGTCTGGCCCTGCGGCCTTGTGAATGTTGACCTGTTTAAAGGTCTTACTCACATCGGCTACGGAGAGTGTGATCACACAGTCGTCCAGAACAACTGATGCTCTCATGCATGTTTCAGTGTTACTTGCCTCGAAGCGAGCATAGAAGTAATTTAGCTTGTCTGGTAGTCTCGTGTCACTGGGCAGTCTTCATCACTGAAAAAGATAAAGGTAAGAGTTTGATATCGTTTGAAAGCTTACAAACAGGGTTGTCAAACTATTCTACAATTTCTTGAAAAATAGTTTTTTATTTAAAAAATGTAATTTTATTAAACTTTAACGTCAAATATCTAAAAACGCGTAAACTAAGATTTTTCTAATTTTCACAAATGTTGTAGCTTGGACCCTATTTAACATAATTTGAAGTGTTTGTGTTGTGCCTGTCTTCGGTTGAGACACAGCATACTCTTGAATACAGGGTGGGTGTCATTTCAGTCATATAAATAGAACGCTCCCCATTTGATGTTGCTGAAAGACTGTATGTAACGCTACGGGTTCTTACTTCTGGAAGTTCACAGCAGGCTGTGGCGAGCAGCTACATAATGGGTTCATCTACTGTGTGCAGTATCGTATCGGAGGTCTGCAAAGCCCTTTGGCTTGCCCTGAACGACGACTTTGTAGCCTTTCCTACAGGGAATCAGTGGACCACAATTGCCCAAGACTTTTGGGGACTCTAGAATTATCCCAACTGTGTTGGATCGATTGATGGAAAGCATGTCCAGATCAGGGCCCCCGCCAGAGCCAGCAGCGACTACTTCAACTACAAAGGTACCCACTCCATTATCTTGATGGCAGTGTGTGATGCCCGCTACAGGTTCACAATGGTGGATGTAGGGCAGCGGAGGCTGGTGGGAGGAGCTATAGGAGGACGGGCTCATTGTAATGCCTGGAATGGAATAAATGGAACGATATCAAACCCATCAAACATATAGAAACCACATGTTTGACTCCATTCCATTAATTCCATACCAGCCATTACAATGAGCTCGTCCTCCTATAGCTCCTCCCATCAGCCTCCACTGATGTAGGGGTATATGGCAGAGAGAGCGATGGTGGAGTGTTTCAAGAGTTATTTTGGGTCCAAACTGCTGCAGAAGACCCTCAATTTTCAACCGCCAGCTGTCCTGCCAGGTACCACAATGCCAAGTCCTCATGTTTTCCTGGGAGATGCAGCTTTCCCCCTACATGAGAACCTCATGCGGCCTTATCGAGGTATGTTGATAATAGAAAGTTGGAATCAATGTAACTTTATCTGTGTCTAATTTCCCTTGTTACTGTATACATTTATACACCTCTATATGAGACATGTCATTTTATCAAGGCTTTTGAAATATGGTTCCTAGAAAATGGTATGGTGTTTGTTTTGGTTGACCAAATAGGCTATATTTTATATCTGACATACAATATAGTCTCTTGTTACCACTCATTCACAGGTGTCCATCGCAATGAACCTGAGCGTACCTACAACTACCGCCACTCTCGTTGTCGGAGAGTCATAGAGAATGCATTCGGCATCATGGCTGCAAGGATGAGGATTCTTGGTCGTCCAATTGAGTGTACCCCTGAAAAGGCAAAGGATATTGTGAAGGCATGTGTGGCCCTCCACAACTACTTATCCTCCACGGATTAAGCTCATGAGCCGAACACAAGATACTTGCCTCCCGCTTTTGCTGACACGCCCCTCCCTTATGGCAACTACCAACCAGGAGAGTGGAGGAGGGTTGTGGCAGGTGACAACAATCTCCAAGAAGCAGGGAGACTATCTTGTGCCAGGGCGACACGGCTTGCAAGTGAAACAAGAATTTCCCCTTCATCTACACTGATTGAGGTGGATTTAACGAGTGACATCAATAAGGGATCATAGCTGTTCAGTCTATGTCTTGGAAAGAGCAGGTGTTCTTAATGTTTTATATACTCAGTGGATATGAACATGAAAAAAATCTGAGTTTACGAGTTTTTAGATAATTGACGTTAAAGTTTTAAAAATGAATTATTTTAATAAAAAAATGTTTTCTTAATAGACCATGAAACAGTTTGACAACCCTGTTTGTAAGCTTTCAAATTACCGTACCAGTCAAAAGTTTGGACACACCTACTCATTCCAGCTTTTTTTTCTTTTTTTTTACTATTTTCTACATTGTAGAATAATAGTGAAGACATCAAAACTATGAAATAACACATATGCAATCATGTAGTAAGCAGAAAAGTGTTAAATAAATCAAAATATATTTTATATTTGAGATTCTTCAAAGTAGCCACCCTTTGCCTTGATGACAGCTTTGCACACACTTGGCATTCTCTCAACCAGCTAATTTGTGGAATTTCTTTCCTTCTTAATGCGTTTGAGCCAATCAGTTGTGTTGTGACAAGGTAGGGGTGGTATACAGAAGATAGCCCTATTTAGTAAAAGACCAAGTCATTATTATGGCAAGAACAGCTCAAATAAGCAAAGAGAAATGACAGTCCATCATTACTTTAAGACATGAAGGTCAGTCAATCCGGAAATGAACGTTTCTTCAAGTGCAGTCGCAAAAACCATAAAGCGCTATGATGAAACTGGCTCTCATGAGGAGCGTCACAGGAAAGGAAGACCCAGAGTTGCAAGTGCTGCAGAGGAGAAGTTAGAGTTAACTGCACCTCAGATTGCAGGCCAAATAAATGCTTCACAGAGTTCAAGAAACAGACACATCTCAACATCAACTGTTCAGAGGAGACTGTGAATCAGGCCTTCATGGTCAAATTGCTGCAAAGAAACCACTACTATAGGACACCGATAAGAAGAAGAGATTTGCTTGGGCCAAGAAACACGAGCAATGGACATTAGACCGGTGGAAATCTGTCCTTTGGTCTGATGAGTCCAAATTTGAGATCTTTGGTTCCAACCGCTGTCTTTGTGAGACGCAGAGTAGGTGAACGGATGATCTCCGCGTGTGTGGGTCCCACTGTGAAGCATGGAGGAGGAGGTGTGACGGTGTGGGGATGCTTTGCTGGTGACACTGTCAGTGTGTTATTTAGAATTCAAGGCACACTTAACCAGCATAGCTACCACAGCATTCTGCAGCGATACGCTATCCCATCTGGTTTATACTTAGTGGGACTATCATTTGTTTTTCAACAGGACAATGACCCAAAACACACTCCCAGGCTGTGTAAGGGCTATTTTACCAAGAAGGAGAGTGATGGAGTGCTGCATCAGATGACCTGGCCTCTACAATCATCCAACCTCAACCCAATTGAGATTGTTTGGGATGAGTTGGACCGCAGAGTGAAGGAAAAGCAGCCAACAAGTGCTCAGCATATGTAGGAACTCCTTCAAGACTGTCGGAAAAGCATTCCAGGTGAAGCTGGTTGAGAGAATGCCAAGAGTGTGCAAAGCTGTCATCAAGGCAAAGGGTGGTTACTTTGAAGAATCTAAAATCTAAAATATATTTTGATTAGTTTAACACTTCCAAAAGTGTTATTTCATAGTTTTGATGTCTTCACTATTATTCTACAATGTAGAAAATAGTAAAAATAAAGAAAAACTCTTGAATGAGTAGGTGTGTCCACATTTTTTACTGGTACTGTATATCAAACTTAACAGTTTATATTTTTCAGTGATGAAGACATCATGGTAGGGTGTGGTTTACAAAATGGGTCAACTTTGAGCACCTCAATCTCCTGAATGTTTTGCCATTCAGGTCCAAAAAGTCACTTTCTGACCAATTCTACCGTGGGAAAATACAGTGCATTCGGAAGGTATTCAGACCCCTTGACTTTTTCCACATTTTGTTGCGTTACAGCCTTATTCTAAAATGGATTACATTTGTTTTTTTCCTCAACAATCTACACACAATACCCCATAATGACAAAGCAAAAACAGGTTTTTATACATTTCTGCAAATGTATTACAAAGGAAAAAATGTAAATATCACATTTACATAAGTTTTCGGACCCTTTACTCAGTACATTTACATTTTGCAGACGCTCTTATCCAGAGCGACTTACAGTTAGTGAATACATATATATATATATATATATATATATATATTTTTTTTTTTTTTTCATACTGGTCCCCCGTGATGTTGCAAACGCCATGCTCTATCAACTGAGCAACATCCCTGCCGGCCATTCCCTCCCCTACCCTGGACAACGCTAGGCCAATTGTGCGCTGCCCATGAGTCTCCCGGTCGCGGCCAGCTGCGACAGAGCCTGGATTCGAACCAGGATCTCTAGTGGCACAGCTAGCACTGCGATGCAGTGCCTTAGACCACTGCGCCACTCAGGACTTTGTTGAAGCACCTTTGGCAGCGATTACAGCCTCAAGTCTTCTTGGGTATGACGCTACAAGCTTGGCACACCTGTATTTGGGGAGTTTCTCCCATTCTTCTCTGCAGATCCTTTCAAGCTCTGTCAGGTTGAATGGGGAGCGTCGCTGCACAGCTATTTTCAGGTCTCTCCAGAGATCATCGATCGGGTTGAAGTCCGGGCTCTGGCTGGGCCACTCAAGGACATTCAGAGACTTGTCACGAAGCCACTCCTGTGTTGTCTTGGCTGTGTGCTTAGGGTCGTTGTCCTGTTGGAAGGTGAACCTTCGCCCCAGTCTGAGATCCTGAGTATTTCTGTTTTTTATTTTTAATAAATTTGCAAACATTTATAAAATCCTGTTTTCACTTTGTCATTTAGGGTATTGTGTGTAGATTGATGAGGAATATATATATATTTTTAATCCATTTTAGAATAAGGCTGTAACGTAACAAAATGTGGAAAAGGGTAAGGGGTCTGCATTCTTTCCGAATGCACTGTATGTATGGAAGGTTTCGTTAAAATCACAAGGAGTGCAGTCAGAAAGTGATTGAAATCATATGGAACGACCCAAAATAAATAACTTAAGTTTGAAATTCAACCTTATGTCACAAGGGCTCACTCTTGATTAGACACAGCCAACATGCTGAATTTGATCTTTGACAGTGATTTATGAAATTTTCCATTTTACATCAACATTACACTACAACAACCCCACACTAATAAACACATCAGAAATGAATAAAATACAGGATAAGCTATTGTCTGAGGCTGGCTGCCTTGGTCTCATTGCATGTTATGTTGACTGCTAGGCAGCAAATGTAGAAAGGGCTTTCTACCACAACATCAGATAAACAGCAGGGTAACATGCCCAGATTAATGTCCGGTGCAGAACTGAGGTGTATACTACAATGCAAGCTAGATCTACTCAGGGTTTTATAAAGCTAGCCAGCTTCAGTTAGCTTCACATTCCAGCTCAGGCTTCATCCATGTTATGAAGGTGGATATTGATTGTGCACCCGCCGCTTACTCGAGCCTGGGCAGTAACTGCTCGTTCATGTCGAACGCCGAACGCTACATTGAGACAATGCTGAAACATCAATCCATGGGCGAGTCAGTGCCACTTTTTCATTTGTGCCGAAATCAAAATGAAAAATGTTTTATCTTGAAGATTCAGCAGGCTATGGTGTGAAATAGGCTGTTAGAAGTGCCGTCTTTCTTTTATTACGTATTGTTAATGCTGTCTTTTGTGTGCTTTGGTGTGCTTATCAATGCACAAGCACCTTTTTTCCCACTCCTATCGATAAAATAGTGTTATTAATTAATACAAAAGTATTACTGTGCTGAAGTTTCAAATGCATTCTGTCATTACTAAATGTGATAGGTATTTTAACATTATTTTTTAACACAAAAAAACATACAAATATTTCATCAGTCATCTTCCTCAAATGAAGGGGATGATGACACAATCTTTGCGAGAGGGCGGGAATATTATTTCAATGGTCCTTCATTCAGGATAAATGGAGTTAGCCCTTAGTTAGCCTGCCCTGGAGCAGGTTAGTTCTGAATGATTTTTTGCCATAGAAATGTACCTGGCTAAAAGTTGAGCCACTTTCGTGTCACTGGTTATCCCGAGTTGAACTCAGAGTGGACCAAAGTTACCTCGCTAACTCGTCAAACCTCATTCGTAGTATAGGGCTCTGATTAGAATCTTAAACATCATGCTGGAATGATGCTCTGAGCCTCAGGAAACATTGTCTGAGCATCAGGAAACATTCTCTCTCTGGCTCACGCAGGGTCGGCAGCAAATGTGTGGCAAGCTGGCATTAGCAAAAAAAATAAAGTACCACACTCTATATGCTCCCAACAATGTAATGGGTAAACCTGGCATTTGCCCCAGTACTTTTCAATCTGGTATGGTGGTGCCCCGCCACTTTAGATTTTTGAAAAGAGGGACAAACTACTGAATGAACTGACTGTTGTTGTCTCTGTGGGCAGGTCCTGTGCTGTATGAATAACTGACTGTTGTCGTGTCTGTCAGCAAGTCCTAATGTGTATGAATAACTGACTGTTGTTGTGTCTGTGAGCAGGTCCTGCGCTGTATGCCTTCAACAATGCAGAGTTTACAGCAGAGGACTGGGAGGGAATCACAACCACAGGCCGGAGCATCAAACGCAAAGACCCAAACAAAGTTGGCAGGTTTGGGATCGGATTCAACTCTGTCTATCACATAACAGGTGAACACCAAAGTATTATTATCACAACAAAGAATCAAACAATGAGCATGCAATAGCTACTGTATATCACAAGGTGTGGTTGATATGCTAAAATCCATATCACAGCGCATGGATCTATACCGGTATACCGGAAATATCGCCATACCGCCCATTGCTAAGTTTAAATTGTCCTTTATAGCCAGCTTTTCATAAAATGTCAAATGCAGATGTTTTTATCTCAATATCAAATCATTTCTGGGTAACAATTAAGTAACTCACTGTGACTGTTTTCAATTAAAATGGTCAAAAAGAAACAAAAATAGCTTCTTAGCATAGAGCAATTTCTCAAGGAAGAATTTTCTAAGGACTGTCTGAGTGGGGAGGGGAAAACGTAAAACTAGTTGTTATTGGCAGAGAGTTTTAGAACTCTTTCTTATTGGTCTATTAACTAATTTACCACTGGTGATGTCACCAGGCAGGCCAAAACTCCATCCCAGAAAAATAGGCTGAAAATTCAGGAGGTCTTTTCAAACAGCTCTTACACTTAAAGGGAATTATCATAATTTTCACAATTTCATAGTATTATTCCAACCTCATAGTGTGGAAATCTATATAATACACAGGAAGATTACAGCATTTCATTCACACTCAGTCATCTGATCATTTCTAGATGTGCCATCCATATTCAGTTCCAAGTACCTGGGCTTCCTGGACGCCCAGGACAAGCTGTTTGAGGAGGATGGAGGCTTCCGGTGGTCTCTGGAGGACGAGGAAGACAAGAAAATTCTCCTGAATCTGCAGGATCAGTTCCAACCGTTCAGAGATGTCGTCAAACTAGTCAGTGGACAGAGATGGACGGACATCATCCAGGAGGAGCAGCACTTTAAAGGGACCCTCTTTAGGTTTCCTCTGCGCAGTGAGGCCTCAGAGATCTCAGATAACCTCTATGACTACCACAAAGTAGTTAAGCTTTTCGACAGCTTCATTGCAGATGCAGACATAAGCCCTCTGTTCTTGAGGAACGTGTCATCAGTCTCTTTGCAGCACATCAACACAAATGGATCCGTCAACACCCGGCTCTCAGTGACCTCCTCCAGTCCCACAGCTTATCCAGGTCTGAAGTCCAGGAGTGAGTCAAACATCAAGGGCTCAACCTGCTTCAAAACCATCACCTGTACCTCCAACGACAAGAAGCAGACAAAGACCAAGTGGCTTGTGACAACATGTTGCATGAAAGACGGAAATGTACCGGAGCTAGATTCACTTGCCAAGAAGCTAAGTTTCCACCCTCATGTTGACATAGCGTTTCCGTGTGGCCAGGAGAGTGTCCTGATTGAGGGAAGACTGAGCTGCTTCCTGCCCCTTCCAAACAACGACTCCAACAAGACTGGACTCCCGGTCCATGTGAACGCCTGCTTCGGCCTCACTGACAACAGAAGACACATCAAGTGGCAGGAGGAAGACCAGAAGTATGATGAAGCTGCGATGTGGAACGAGCTGCTGGTGAAGGAGGTCCTCCCTCACACATACCTCCTGATGCTGCAGGATGCCACCAACCTAGCCAAGACCTCCACACTCCCCGTCTCAGCTGTGTACAACATCTGGCCAGACCTCAGTCAGACCAAACACAAATGGCATGGGATTGCTGAGGACATTCTACAACGTCTATTTAGACAGAACACCGCTGTCTTCTCTCTAGCTGAAGACGAAAGACAGTTTGTTTCTCCCGCCGAGGCTGTGTGTCCATCCAATAACACCAAGGTGTCTGAAATTATGGCTGCTGTGACCAGGACCTTGATTGCAGGAGGAGAAAAGCTTGTCACCTTCCCATATCATGTCTCCAGAGCTGTACAGCTGGCCTTCCCAGAACCTGACACTCTGAAATGGGTGACTCCAGCTCTTGTAAGGGACGTTCTCCGCAGAGTTACTGTGTCCAACCTCTCTAACGATGACAAACGGTCTCTGCTGCAGTTCATCTTGAGCGATGAGAATTACCACAACCTCAGGGGTCTGAAGATGCTTCCTCTCAGCGATGGGACTTTCAATACATTCACAAATGAAGAGAAGGACATCGCTCTCATTGACAATGATTCATTTCCAAGGTAAATTCTTAATAATCTAAATATACAGTGCAGTATTTTTTATATGGATAATCCATGCCTTTTTCTTCCATTAAGAATTTACAAGTAAGTCTTCTCATCATGCAGAGTGCTGCTGCCAGGTTGCAAAGCCCTGTTTCTGCCGGATGATCTCAGCACCACTAGCATCCACCATTTGAGGCAACTAGCAGCAACAAGTAAGTTAATATATTGTACAAATTATGAAAGGTTTTGGATATCATGTAGAATTGCAAATACCTGCATGTTTTTTTACATGGTTATTATTTCTATATCTCCGTAATTGTAGATACATTCAAAGTATTCAATGTGGATGCTGACATTGTGGCTACATTTGCAAAGAAGACTCTCCCAAAGGACTGGGAACAGACAGGTGGTCATGTCACCTGGGAGGTAGGGAGTGGCCATCACCCACCCTTGAGGTGGCTCAGAGAGTTCTGGCAATGTCTCAACACTCACTGGGGAGATCTGAGATGTTTTGAAGGCATGCCTCTGATACCCATCGAGCCTCTTCACGATAATAGCCATTATGTCATACTTGCAAGACTACAACAGAATCCAACCATCATTTTTCGGAAAAGCAAGCAAACCATCTTACCAGACAAAATCGAGAAAGTGATAAAGAAGGTTGGGGGAACAGTGGTGAACAGAGATGAATGCCTGAAGCACCAAGATCTTGACTCGTACATACTACCACCATCGGCTCAGAACATTCTACAGGTGTTCATGAACTTAGCTGCCAGTCAGGTCATCATTGGAATCAGGTCTGCTCCTCACCATGAGAAAGAGGAACTCAAAGACTACCTCTCTACTCTGAATTCTCTCAAAGTCCAGGAGCGAGATCTGCTCTCAAAGATGCCTCTCTTCCAATCAATGGCCGGAGAATACGTTTCCGCCCAATCCAAGCAGGCAGTGGTTCTGAGTTCCACCCCAGCTCTCCCCACAGAGCTCCCCATGCCGGATTCCATTGTCCGGTGTGCAACTGAGGCTGATCGCAGGCTCCTATTGTTGCTCAACGTTGATCTCCTGGATACCGCCCAGGCGGCCATTTATTTGATTGATGGAGTTGAGAGGAAGTCTTTCAAGAAACAAGAGACTGAGAGAATCATGACCTGGATATTACAGCATGGCAGTATCCTCTTCTCACAGAATGGGACCTTGTACACAAAATGTAAGGATTTGAGCTTCATCGAAGTAGATGAAGGAGAATTGAAGAAGACCTCCAGCATTTTCGATCCAAACAATAAAACCTTCCAAGTCCTTTTTGAAAGAGATTTTTTTCCTCCAGCTGTGTTCACACAGACTCCAGAGATGCTTGACAGTTTAGCACGTATTGGATTGCAGACAAAGGAAATGGAAGTATCAGCAGACAACGTGTTGCATATTGCCACCCATATTGAGAAATCACGTGTTCACCCACAAAGAGCTTTCAAAAAAGCAGAAGCACTTCGAAGACTATTGAATGACAATGACCTGCTCTCCCAGTTCTCTCATCAGCAGCTGCAGCACCTCTCACAGTTGCAGTGGGTCCCTTGTGAGAATCCTTGCATCACGAAAGAAAAGAACAAGGGGAAAAGTTTATACAAGCCAGAGGAGATACGACATTCGGAGTACAAGGGCATTGTAGGGCATGTCATGCCTCTTACTGGAGACTTCAGTCAGAAAGTAAGCAGCAAACTGGGTTTGTTACGTCTCCCTCCTGCTGAGAAGGTTATGGAGAATATGTCATCGCTGGCAGCTGTGGCCCAGGCAATGACAGATCCAGATAAAGATGTGCAGTTTAAAACCAAGCTGCATAGCATTTACAAATACATGCAAGATCACATTCCTGAGGTCAGGGAAGTGACGAACAAGAGATGCATACCTTGGCTGTGGATCCACAACCATTTTGTTTTTCCTCATGATGTAGTCTTGGCCTACCCACCTGATTTGGATCTGAGCTCGTACATTGAGAGGGTGACAGATGAATTTCTTCCATACAACACCTTGCTGACAGAGTTTGGAGTGAAGACATCACTGTCAGATAAAGAAATAGAGGACATCCTTCATGACATCAAACAGACCATTGAAGAAAGGTCCCAACCATTTGGCGAACCCTCCGAGCTGAAAGTGTCAATAGCCATTCTGAACTGGATGTGGAGAGAGAAGAAGACCGTCAGGGTCAATATCCCAGTGCCAGTCATGGCAGGGAGTCAGAGATTTACCCTGCAACCGTTGTCCAAGACAGTGTTTTGTGACATAAGCAGAAACAGTCTGGAGGATATACAGCACGACCAGGAGGAGATTCATGTCATCCACGTGGAGATTCCACCGGCGACGGCAGAGTGGCTGAACATCCCGTTCCTCAGCACCCGGATCCTGCGTCCAGAGTTAATTGGAATAGAGCAGTGTGGGCAGTCAGAACCCATAACTCTGAGGATCAAGAACATTCTGAAGGAGTATGACGAAGATAATGACATCTTCAAAGAGCTCATTCAGAATGCAGAAGATGCTGGAGCAAACACCTGTAAATTCATGGTGGATTTCAGGGACCACAAAGACCCTGTGGACAGCCTCATAGACCAAGGCATGTCCCTCTGTCAGGGACCATGTCTCTGGGCCTTCAACAATGAGCTCTTCAGTGAGGATGACTGGAAAAACATTGTCAAACTCGGATCTGCCTCAAAGGAAAATGAGGTTGAAAAAATAGGGAAGTTTGGGCTAGGATTTAATGCTGTGTACCATGTGACTGATATTCCCTCAATCCTCAGTGGCAAGGGGCTACTGATACTTGACCCAAATGTTACACACCTGCAAAAGCACATACAAAACAAAGCAAATGCTGGAATCAAACTCGACTTATCTCGGGAGCAGCTTCTGCACAGGTTTCCTGGACAATTCAGACCATATGAGCGCATTTTTGATTGCAATCTTTCAAAAGAGAGCACTCAGAAATTCTACCAGGGCACGCTCATTAAACTACCTTTCCGGACACGAGAGGAGGCTGTCAAGTCAGAAATCAGCGGAAATGTGTATGACAGAGATGACATAGTAAAATTTCAACAGGAACTGATCAACTCACAAACTCATCTCCTCTTTCTGAAGAACATCAAGACGGTATCTCTTCAAAACCTCCCGAGCGATGCTTCCACTCCTCCTCAAGACGACCAAATAGAGACTCTCTTCACTGCCACCAGAAAGGTTGTGAGCACAATCAAGATTCCGGAGGACACTCCTCCAGGAACGATGCAGAATGATGCTCTGAAATCTCTGACGAAGCATTATGCGAAATGCCAAGAGGTAATTGACTGCCATAGCGCCAACATAGCTGAACTAACTCAACAACATTGTGATGGATCTGATGTCCAGTTCTGGCTCCTGTACAATTGCTTTGGGACACAAAATTCTTTACAAATGGTCCAGACAGACAACAAGCAAACTGTGTTCTCCTTGCCAATAGGAGGTGTTGCTGTACCATTAAACAAAGAACCACAGACCGGGAAATGGGTCCCGGGAGAGGCCAAACTGGTTGGCCAGGCTTTCAGCTTCCTCCCCCTCTCTGTTGCCACAGGGCTCCCGGTGAACCTGAATGGATCCTTTGCTGTGACCTCTAATCGGAGAGGTCTGTGGGAGAGTGGTGTGAAATATGACTGGAATAGAGCTCTCCTGCAGGATGCTGTTACAACTGCATATGTCACTACACTACTAGTGTTGAAAAATATGTCAAAAAATGGAGACCTTCAACGTTACCAGTACTACACCTTTTGGCCCAATGGAGAGAATGTGAGCAAGACATTCAAACCCCTGGTTGATGAATTTTACTTCGCCATCGCTCAGCACTTCTCTGGCAAAGCTCTGGAGCTCTTCAGTGATGGGGACAACTGGTGCTCAATGTGCAATGCCAGATTTCTGCACCCAACTATTCAAGAGGACAAAGCTGTAGGAGAGCTTGCAATGAAGGTTTGTCAAAGCAATCCAAACACATCTTATCATGTTGTCCCATTGCCATCGTGGGTGAGACAGAGCTTCATACAGACCGGCTTTGATAAGATTCTAAAACAGAGAACATTTGATTGGGAAGCATTTTACCAAGAAGTGGTATTTAACAACCTGAGCACTATGGACCAGAAGAGTAGGAACGCTCTTGTGCTGCATGCTATTGACCTGAATGACGATGCCATTGACAATCTACTGAGGAGCTACCCATGCATTCCTACAAAGAAAGGTGGACAACTCCAGTTCATCAAAAAACTTGTGAATCCCCCTGGAAAAGTTGCACACTTGTTTGAGCAAGAGGAAGGACGGTTCCTTGGGGGGACCAAAAATGACTTCTGTTCCCCTAAAAGGATTCAACGTCTGTCTGAACTAGGGATGCTGAGTGACCAGCTCCCTTTGGAGGACATCACAGAGAGAGCAGAGACCATTGCCAGCATTTGGCAAAAAGACAAAGGGAAAGCATACAAGCATCTTCAGTGCATCCTGGAGCTGATGAGGGACTCCTTACAGGATGAAGCCTCGCCTCACTGGGAGACTCTGAGAAACACAGAGTTCATTCCAGCATGTGCTCCAGTGAATACATGGGAAGGTAAGGATGATAGAGCAGGGAAGGATGAAGCAGTCAGGCTTCAAAAGCCTACTGACATTTACAGTGACCGATGTCGCCATCTAGTTGACATGACACAGTCTGTGGTAGACTCTTCAAATCTGAAAATACACAGTGATGATGCAGTGCTACGCATACTGGGACTTTGTGAAAGCCCTTCACTTGAGACAGTGCTTCAGCAGCTGCAGGAAGCATCCAAGCACACAGAAACATTTGACAAACAGATGCTTTTCAACATCGCCTATGAATGTTACAAATTTCTGAATGAATGGCTACATGATGAGAAGGACTCCACAGCCATTTTTGAGGGGGCACACTCATTCCCCTTTATCCTGGTTGAAGACAGATTTGTGGATGTAAAATCTGTGGCAAAAAATGAGAAATTTGAGGCTAAACCGTATCTTCATGTGCTTCCACCTGCCTTGTCCAAATTCAAAGAGCTCTGGAAATGTCTAGGCATTCAAAAGAAATTCACACCAGAACAGTTCCATTGTGTACTGCAGAAACTTAGCCAAGCCTACGGTATCAGCCCACTTTCCAATAATGATCTAGAAATTTGCCTGATAATAATCCTAAGGGGATTATACAAGGCCAAAGATGAAAACCAAAATGACGGTCTCATACCTGATGAAAACCAAGATGACTGTCTCATACCTGATGGAAGTGGTGTTTTGCAGCCATCTAACCAGCTCTATTTTAATGACAGCCCCTGGATGGAAGTGTCAGAAGATGTCACTTTATGCCATAAAAAGATATCTCGTCCCATTGCACTTTATTTTGGGGTGATCACAACAAGACACCACACACTGCAAAAGCATTCAGTAGAGAACTTCTCACCATTTGCCGAAGAGTTCGGACAACATGAGGAACTGACCGTCCGCATTAAAAATATAATTGCAGCTTATCCCGCAAAGAAGGACATCCTGAAGGAGCTCATCCAAAATGCTGATGATGCAGAGGCCACAGAAATTCACTTTGTTTGGGACAAAAGAAAGCACAGCACGGAAAGAACATTTGGACAGAGATGGCATCCACTGCAGGGCCCTGCACTGTGTGTGTACAACAACCAGGTGTTTTCTGATGCTGATCTGAGAGGCATTCAACAGCTGGGACAAGGTGGAAAGCACAACATTCCAGGGAAAACCGGAAAATATGGACTTGGATTTAACTCAGTCTACCACCTGACTGACTGTCCTTCGATCCTTACCGGTGACAAATGGCTCTGCATATCTGATCCCAATCTGAAGTATGTTGAAGGTGGATCACGAGAATCACCTGGCCGCAAGTACACACTGAAAAAGGAATTGAAGAACACCTTCATGGATGTTTACAATACGTTTCTCCCAAAGGAATTCTCTCTTGAAAATGGCACGATGTTTAGGTTGCCTATCAGAACGTGTGCCATGGCAAAAACCTCAAAAATATCAAACAATGAGGTCAATGACAGAGATATTGATGAACTGTCTTCAGCTCTCCGTGAAGACCCTGATGGATTGATTCTCTTCTTGAAGAACATCAGGAAAATACAGTTCCATGAAATCAACACAAACACAGGAAAGCTCAGAATTACTTTCTCGATTGAAAAAAGTATTTCTGAGAAGAGCATTGCAGAAAGGGTTTCTTTTCAAAACCACGTACAACAATCCCTGTTGTCCAATGGACCAACAACACCACATGAAGCCATTTACAATGTCAAGATTTCATCATCTGATAAAAGGCAAAGCCAGTGGATCATTGCAGAGCAGTTTGGCTCCTTTAAAGGAAACACTGATATGGAAGGACAGACTGGCAGAGTTCCCCAGGCAGCTTTGGCAGCATGTGTAAGCTGTCATCCTAAACAGGATGACTTCATTGGACAAGTGTTCTGCTCCCTGCCCTTGCCTGGTAAAACTGGACTTCCAGTCCATGTCAACGGACACTTTCAGGTAGATTCTTCCAGACGGGCGCTCTGGAAAGAGGATGGGAAAAGTTTGAAGACTGATTGGAATGAGTCTCTGAAAATGAACATCATCGCCCCACTGTACGCTGGCCTTCTGAATTACATCTGCAACCTAAAGAAAGTGAAATCCAATTCCATACATCTTATTGATTCAGTCCTGGACAGCTCCTACTTGTGCTTCTTCCCCACAATTACCAAAGACATTGGCCAAGATTGGCATGAAATGATTCATGAAGTGTACAGGTCAGTCAATGAAAGAGAACTCTGTGTTGTTCCAGTACTTCGCAGATCAACTCGTCAAGTCCAACCCCAGTCAATAACACACCTGACAAACCTAAAGGAGTACACTGTTGACTGGTCAAGTGTGAGAAAGACAGAACCAACTGACACACCTCATTTGACAAGCATGGACAACGGACTTGTCATTTCTATTTTGGAGGATATTGGAATGCAGTTGGTTCCTTCATCCACAAAGATGACAGAAATATGGACCTGCTTTAAAATGGCTGGAGTTGATGTGGAAACAGTCAGTCCTTTGACGGTGGGAAACTACCTGAGGAAGAAACCACTGAATGATCCAACTCAAACTGAAATGGGTTTACCTCTACCCATTGGGCAGACTTTGATCAGAGACAAAGAGAGATGCTCCAAGCTCTTGGAGTACTGTATCAAAGATGTTGTAGTTAGCAACAAAACTTCCAGTTCAGACAGTGGACTTCAAATAGATGCTAACAAAAAGTGTTCCAGATCAGTCAGTGGACTTCCACTCCTTCTCACTCAAGATCAGATTCTTAGAGTGTTCGACCCTGAGTCTCCCAAGCTTCTGTCAACATTTTACGGAATGTTCCATGGACATCAAGAGGATTTTGCTGATTACACAACCAACTTCAAGCATGTTAAGGTTCTAGAAGATGGGAACTTTCTTGAGAAATGTACAATTCCAGCCGCAGCAAAGTATTTTAAACCTATACTTCTGCAACTCCTTCAAAACTGTGAAACTGATCCACACTGCAGGCTACATGTACCAGACGAGACAATGCACTCATGGCTGAAAGAGCTGTGGGAATTCTTTGATGATCAAGTCAAATTAGCAGCTACAAAGGGTGGAGGTGATAATCAGGCTCTCAGGGCCATAAAGGAGTTGTTCTCTGACTGCCCTATTTTGCCAGTTGTGTGCCCAAGACTAAACAACAAACATGTTCTCCAAACAATGAGGAAGATGTCCAGTGTGATTCATGTTGAATCAAAAGAAGACATGTCATCTATCCTCCTGAAACTTGGTCTCATGAAACTAAACATTAAATTCTTCAGACATATGGACCATCTGCCGTACCTACTCCCTGAGTTATTGAAGACAAGTGACGGCAGTGCTGTGTTAGACCAAGTCCACCAGCTGGAACATTCAGAGTTTCGGCATCTTTCTGATGATGAGTTGAATAAACTATTACATTTTCTGCAGTCTGGGATGTGCTCATCTAAAAACAAACAGGGCTACCAGAGAAAGTTCAAGTCATTGCCACTATTTGAAACCATACAGGGTAGACGGCAGCGGATTGATGGACAACAAAATGTATTCATCCTCAAAACAGAGTTCAGGGAAAGCTTTCCAGATTTGTACATGGCAGATGACAACATCTTCCTCAAATGTAACTCTGAAAATGAGAGCTTGTCAGGAAACCTGAGCATTAAAATATTAAATGATTTGGAGTACTATGTACAGTTTATTCTGCCTTTCCTACACAAGCTAACTGAGAACCAAATGATTCACTCTGTCCAGCTGTTGTTGTCACTACAATTAAAACCCAACTACCAGTACCATGAAAAAATCATCTCTACAATGAAAAATGTGAAATTCATTCGGAACATCCATGGGAATCTGCAGATGGCCTCTTACTTCTTTGATAAGAATGAGAAGTTGTACAAAGTCATGCTGCCACAAGAGAGATTTGTGCCAGAAAGGTTCTGGAAAATATTCCCAGATGGAGAAATCATATCTCATAAGGATCAAGTATGGAAACTGCTCATAGAACTTGAAATGAAGTGCACTGTGTCAGATGAGGAGATAATTCAGTTTGCTCATGAAATTGAATTGGATGCCAAAGTCACTACCAGCCTCCAAGAGCTGAAACTAAAGTCGTCTACATTGTTGGAAACTATTTTGGAAAGGGGTGTCAAAAAGTCAGCACCAAACTTTCTCAAAATTATTTCTGACATTAAGTTTGTTTTTCCTGTGGAAATTCAAAATAAGTTGTGCAGCTTCCACCAGTCATTTGCTGGGGAGAGGACTTTAGTTACAATCAGAGGTTGTTTGTTTGGAGAAAATCTCCTCCACAAATCCCTAATTTGGACATCCATGCCAATACTGCACTTAAGAATGTGTATTGAAAAGCACAAAACAATGATGAGAGAAGCAGGCGCTGTTGAACAGCCCCCTCCGGAACGTGTGATAGAGAATCTCAGAAACATCTGTCAGTCACCATGCCAAACACCTGACTTGGTTGGAACCCGAGCTGAAGTGTTCCGGAAATCTTACACCTATCTACAAACAATAGAGTTTGACCCCAAGCCGTTGACTGACCTCCCTCTTGTGCTGGTGGAAGAAGATTCTGCACTTGTAAAGACCATGCAAACAACTATAGTACTGCCTCATGACGTGACGTTTAGGCCCTATTTGTATTGCATTCCTCCAAAGGATATTAGGTATGCAGAATTCTTCAAGAAAATTGGCGTCAAAGACGAGCCTACTGCAGAGCAGTACTGCAACGTGCTACAAGAAATCCATGCAGATTCCACCGACAAGCAAACCCTTCAACCAAATCTGGAGGAAACTGTCAAGCGTGCTGTAGAGCAGCTATTTTGTCTGATCAGGAAATTGAAAGAAAATCAGTTGACCTCAGAACTTCCCAAGGCTTTGTATCTACCGTCAACAGATGGCAGACTGTACCCTTCAGACTCACTGTATTTCAATGACACAGTCTTCCAGGTTAGCAGATTGGAGGGTGCTCTTAAAGACAAATTGAAACTCCTGGAGAAACTGAGCAACTGTCATTTAGGGTTCGACATGTATGAGCATCATAAAATGCTGCAGTTGCTGCCCCTGGAGATACGACCCAAAATGCTCTCCCAGATTACAGTAGAGAACGTGGTGGAATCCAACATGCAACTGTGTGAGTACGGGGAGGGCTGCGAGTTCAGCGGATGGTTTCAGGCACATCTATCCTCCGCTCCCTTCAGGCATGGTCTGGTTTGTCTCATTAGACAGCAGAAAGAGGGCCAGGTATCACAAGGCGATGCTGCCACCATGTGTGAGAAAGCCTTTGGCAGCATTGAGATCACCTGCTGCAAGAGCCTTGAAACAGTGCTTTGGCTTGGCAAGGAGCTACTGAGTGGCACCACTGCTGCCACACAGCTGTATGTCAAAAAGGGCCAGCAAGGTTGCACCTTCTACCTGAAACACAACAACGACACGGCCCACAAAGTGAAGAGTGAGGTCATCATGAGACTGACTAATGAGATTAATGTCCTTCTCAAAAACATTCTCGGCTCAAACCTCCTGCTAGTTCTGGGACACCTTCTCTCGTGTGATAGCATGGAGGATGTCAAGATGGCTCTGGAGCAGAGCGGTATCCATTACAGCGCCGATACTGGCAGCACCGATACCAAAGAATCCCTGAAAGGACCGCCAGAACCAGGAAGTTCTGTTCCTGAAGAGTGGCACGACGCCCTGGACATGAGCTACCTCAACAACTATGAAGCTGGGGAATACGTTGCCTATAAGAAGACGGCAGAGGAGGAGCATTGGTGTTATGCAGTTGTAGTGGAACAGCTGTATGTACCAACAGGTCAATCAGGACAGAGTGCCCACAGATACAAAATACAGATGGGGAAAGATAAAGTAATCGAAGTTGGTGCCCTTGATCTGTACCAATTTAAACGGGAAAAGAAGCCTTCCTCCACTTCCACTGGAGCAACTTGCATGGAACTGGTACAACTGGCAGAGTCAGTCCCACGGTCATCAACAACAAGGGCCTTGCCACAGTCTTTGGAAGAAGCCAAAAAGGACATTGAGAAATGTCTGGCAGAGATATGGACTCTGTCTGCAGAGGAGAGGCACAAGGCCATCAAGCGCCTCTGGCTGAGGTGGCACCCAGACAAAAACCTAGACTTTCTACAACTTGCCACAGAGGCATTCAAGTATCTGCAAAACAGAATTGAGGATCTTGAGAACAGCAGGACGGGGAACCAATCATCCCCGCAATGGAACACACATTTCCGAAACTTCTACGAACAGTGGAACCAGGAAGCTCATCACCACCGGTGTGGGAGAGAGAGGTTCTACAGAACAAGGGGCCACAATACCAGATACAACTTCTATACATATCATGAAAACGTACCACAACCCAACCGAGCAGAGGCTCAGCGCTGGCTCAGTCAGGCCCAGTGTGATCTAGCTGCTGCTCACAACGACACAGGAGGCAGGGCCACAGAGTGGACTCTGTTCAAGGTACATCAGGCCGTGGAGAAGGCTCTCATAGCAGCCGAGTACAGAAGACATGGACAACATTCCAGCAACAGTTCCATCTCCATCCTGGCTGAGCGGGTGTCTGGCTACAGCCCCAAGTTAGACACTCTACCCAGCATTGTGAGCAAACTGAAACAGCTGGGAGTCGACGCCAAGACCACTCAATACCCAAACTACCACCACTTACCACACATTCCAAACAAAATGTTCAAGTGTGAGAATGAAACAGAGGTACTGGACATGGCATCAAAGCTTCTGTGCAAAATAGAAATGTATATTAATTGATTCTAGACATAGCCTGCAAATGTTTCCATTGGGCATTGATAGAAAACAAACGGTTGATTATTTCATCCAGTTCTTTAGAAATGCACACAAAAAAATGCTAAATGCTATGTGATTTGATTTAGAAATGCTAAATGTATATTTCATGTTGTAAGCTTGTGCTTAGCTGCAAGTATATTATGATCATTCAAGTTGTTCAGTAATTATTTTGAAGAATACATTGATTTAAAAGATCAATTGTTTTTGTTATAGGTTAAATGCTCACAAAAATACAGTAAAATGTTAGTTTTTCCACTTTATGTTGAAGATGTATTCTGTGCTAATAAATGTCAAATATAAATGTGATTAAATAAAGTAAACATTGATCATTCTCTCTGCATCATCTCTGACACATTACATAGAGCGAGTACTTTAGAGATCATTCTTTACAATTAAGGTTTAAAATCAGAAATCAAATTTATTTTACTTGAAGGATATTGGTGAAGTGCTGACACAGTATTGACATCGTTAATAGATATTAATTGAGTATTATTCAGTCTCCAAGTAAAACGATGATCAATGATATCTCCAGTATGAACGGTCACCACTCATCAGAAAAGAACAGTCTGGTAGTGTGTGCTTGGTTGTCTCTCAGCAGTAGCCAGCCCCCAGTGTTTATACAATACAAAATGTTAAAAGGCTTCTTTTGTTTTGTTCTGTTGTCTTCAGAGAAAAACATGTTAATCTGTGGTTAGTCTGGGGGTTCATCTGAATCATCTTCAGTCTCTTAACACACATCTTCACCATGACCCTATGGCTGGATCCTTTATCTGGGATCCAATAATAATAACTTGCATAACTTTGTACATACAACAGGCTGCTGCCTGGGCCAACGCGGTGCACTAAGGATACAGAGGAGTCTTTACATAGCAGATACAATATGGTGGATGGTAGGGGAACAAAATGCACTTAGCCTCATACATGCAATACATGCAGGGATCCAGACTAAGGTTTTCCCCTGGTGGCACTAGTGCCACTAACTTTTTCAGTTGGTGGCACCAGCCCAACAACAAAAAACATTGCGGCATCACGCAATAGAAAAATGAATAATCCTCATATAAAGTCATAAAGTAATTCACAACGCTTAAGAAGTGTAAAAAACTACTGAGATGGTATTCAATAAACAAGTTGTTACATCTAACATGTCCAAGCAGGAATGCATGATTCAAGATATTTTGATATGCAACCTAATCCAGTGATTGTCATGAAGTTTGGGTTGACAATTAGGCTATTATTGTTACATTTTACCGTCAAAATAAGGCTGCAGAATTTTCTGAGGTTTTTGTTCAGTAGATATGAATTTGCCTTCATCTTTCTGTGGACTAATATGACATATAGGCCTAATTCAATTGGTGCTAATTCACCACGGGGGAATTCAGATCTGAGGTAAGTGTGCGTAAATGGAACGTAATACCCTTTTTATGCACTTTTCTCTCTACGTGTATTCTGACCTTGACCTAATGCCCTCATAATTCCACCATCTTTACGCGCGATGAATAAGGTCGAGCAACCTGTCTCTTCCAAGTGGAACAACATCTACTTTATTCTTTCTGATATAAATTACAAAAATATAATTTACAAGTTGATATGAGGCTAAGCTATTGATAAGAGCTAAGTAAATGAGTAAGCCGTTTGGATAAAGGGATTATAAATATAAATGGCAATTGTTTTAGATCTATTTTACCTTATGATCGCTGGAGACAAATGTGAAACCAGTAACATGGCAGCAAACTGAAGCATATCAACATATCACCTTTTCCACAGTGAAGTTTATGAAATGCTGTCCTTATAACCTGCAGGGATGACATTTGGAGACCCAAGCTATAGGCTTCTGTAGCCATGCGCAAATTACAGTATAGTGCCTTGGTCAGGGAAGTGACCAAGAACCCAATGGTCACTCTGACAGAGCTCCAGAGTTCCTCTGTGGAGATGGGAGAACCTTCCAGAAGTACAACCATCTCTGCAGCACTCCACCAATCAGGCCTTTATGGTCATTGGCCACATGGAAGTAACTCCTCAGTAAAACGCACATGACAGCCCGCTTGGAGTTTGCCAAAAGGCACCTAATGGACAAGATTCTCTGGTCTGATGAAACCAAGATTGAACTCTTTGGCCTGATTGCCAAGCGTCACGTCTGGAGGGAATGTGGTGTCGAGACAACGATGCTGATATGCTGTGAAGACAAGAAATCCGCTGACACTGTCCTTAATTATGAGTTTTATTACATCAAAGCTTACAGCGTCAATTTACAGATTTCTGCAGAAAATCCGGAGAACAACCAACCCAATCTCTAATATGTTATTCTCCCAGTTCTTTGTTCAAAACCTGGTATTTATCCTACAGTGGGGGAAAAACTATTTAGTCAGCCACCAATTGTGCAAGTTCTCCCACTTAAAAAGATGAGAGAGGCCTGTAATTTTCATCATAGGTACACGTCAACTATGACAGACAAATTGAGCATTTTTTTTCCAGAATATAGTAGGATTTTTAATGAATGTATTTGCAAATTATGGTGGAAAATAAGTATTTGGTCAAACAAGCAAGATTTCTGGCTCTCACAGACCTGTAACTTCTTCTTTAAGAGGCTCCTCTGTCCTCCACTCGTTACCTGTATTAATGGCACCTGTTTTAACTTGTTATCAGTATAAAAGACACCTGTCCACAACCTCAAACAGTCACACTCCAAACTCCACTATGGCCAAGACCAAAGAGCTGTCAAAGGACACCAGAAAAAAATTTGTAGACCTGCACCAGGCTGGGAAGACTGAATCTGCAATAGGTAAGCAGCTTGGTTTGAAGAAATCAACTGTGGGAGCAATTATTAGGAAATGGAAGACATACAAGACCACTGATAATCTCCCTCGATCTGGGGCTCCACGCAAGATCTCACCCTGTGGGGTCATAATGATCACAAGAACGGTGAGCAAAAATCCCAGAACCACACGGGGGGACCTAGTGAATGACCTGCAGAGAGCTGGGACCAAAGTAACAAAGCCTACCATCAGTAACACACTACGCCGCCAGGGACTCAAATCCTGCAGTGCCAGACGTGTCCCCCTGCTTAAGCCAGTACATGTCCAGTCCCGTCTGCAGTTTGCTAGAGTGCATTTGGATGATCCAGAGGAGGATTGGGAGAAAGTCATATGGTCAGATGAAACCAAAATATAACTTTTTGGTAAAAACTCAACTCATCGTGTTTGGAGGACAAAGAATGCTGAGTTGCATCCAAAGAACACCATACCTACTGTGAAGCATGGGGGTGGAAACATCATGCTTTGGGGCTGTTTTTCTGCAAAGGGACCAGGACGACTGATCCGTGTAAAGGAAAGAATGAATGGGGCCATGTATCGTGAGATTTTGAGTGAAAACCTCCTTCCATCAGCAAGGGCATTGAAGATGAAACGTGGCTGGGTCTTTCAGCATGACAATGATCCCAAACACACCGCCCGGGCAACGAAGGAGTGGCTTCGTAAGAAGCATTTCAAGGTCCTGGAGTGGCCTAGCCAGTCTCCAGATCTCAACCCCATAGAAAATCTTTGGAGGGAGTTGAAAGTCTGTGTTGCCCAGCGACAGCCCCAAAACATCACTGCTCTAGAGGAGATCTGCATGGAGGAATGGGCCAAAATACCAGCAACAGTGTGTGAAAACCTTGTGAAGACTTACAGAAAACGTTTGACCTGTGTCATTGCCAACAAAGGGTATTTAACAAAGTATTGAGAAACTTTTGTTATTGACCAAATACTTATTTTCCACCATAATTTGCAAATAAATTCATTAAAAATCCTACAATGTGATTTTCTGGATCTCATTTTGTCTGTCATAGTTGACGTGTACCTATGATGAAAATTACAGGCCTCTCTCATCTTTTTAAGTGGGAGAACTTGCACAATTGGTGGCTGACTAAATACTTTTTTCCCCCACTGTACCTGTATAAAAGACACCCGTCCACAGAAGCAATCAATCAATCAGATTCCAAACTCTCCACCATGGCCAAGACCAAAGAGCTCTCCAAGGATGTCAGGGACAAGATTGTAGACCTACACAAGGCTGGAATGGGCTACAAGACCATCGCCAAGCAGCTTGGTGAGAAGGTGACAACAGTTGGTGCGATTATTCGCAAATGGAAGAAACACAAAAGAACTGTCAATCTCCCTCGGCCTGGGGCTCCATGCAAGATCTCACCTCGTGGAGTTGCAATGATCATGAGAACGGTGAGGAATCAGCCCAGAACTACACGGGAGGTTCTTGTCAATGACCTCAAGGCAGCTGGGACCATAGTCACCAAGAAAACAATTGGTAACACACTACGCCGTGAAGGACTTAAATCCTGCAGCGCCCGCAAGGTCCCCCTGCTCAAGAAAGTACATATACATACCCGTCTGAAGTTTGCCAATTAACATCTGAATGATTCAGAGGAGAACTGGGTGAAACTGTTGTCGTCAGATGAGACCAAAATGGAGCTCTTTGGCATCAACTCAACTCGCCGTGTTTGGAGGAGGAGGAATGCTGCCTATGACCCCAAGAACACCATCCCCACCGTCAAACATGGAGGTGGAAACATTATGCTTTGGGAGTGTTTTTCTGCTAAGGGGACAGGACAACTTCACCGCATCAAAGGGACGATGGACGGGGCCATGTACCGTCAAATCTTGGGTGAGAACCTCCTTCCCTCAGCCAGGGCATTGAAAATGGGTCATGGATGGGTATTCCAGCATGACAATCACCCAAAACACACGGCCAAGGCAACAAAGGAGTGGCTCTTTTGGGAAAGAGCACAGTTAGAAAGATATGGCATATAGAAGCAAACCGGATGGACATCATGAAAATGATCGGAGGTTGAGAGTAGAAGAAGTTCAGGAGCAATTTTTTTTTTTTTTTTTAAATAAATATATATATATATATATATATAATAGAATTATTGTACAATTAACTCTGTCCATAAGATGTAGATAGTAAGTGTCAGA